CCCTGTATATTTTTTTCCCCTAAAAATATCGCATCATTCATTTTTACCACATGTTTAATCATTTAATATTTGATTAATTTGTAATTTAACATAATTTTTATTTCAAACATTATCTATACACGATAGTATATGCATGTTAAGAAAATTTAATATAGTGAAGCATTTGAATATTATATTCGATCAAGTCTTCAGGCACGGGTTACAATTATGCTTCTATATTAGTGCCTAACCGATAGTTAATGTTGGTATCAAGTAAAGTAACTTAGATTATGTAAATCTAAAACTGAGTTAATGTTGGTACCAAGTAAAGTAACTTAGATTATGTAAATCTAAAACTGCTTGGAGATTTTTTTTAAAAAAATAAAAATTCAATTAGACGGTCAAAACTCATCAATCTAGGACATATTGCCAAGCTTATGTTAGCTCAAGGTAAAAGATAAACTTTAGGTCCATGCTTTTTTGTGGAATTATGAAAAATCCAAAATGATGCTCTTTGCGGAATTACATAATAATTTCGCTTTAAAAAGGACATCAATTTTTTTTTAAGTTTTCCTCATAGATTGCCAAAAAGAATAATATTGAGATACCAATGAGTAAATAAAAAAAGTAAGGTACCTTTTGCCTTGTGAAGGGTTAGCTTTCATGAGGTTAAAGGGTTTAAGTTACCTAAGCGATAAAAAATGTGATTGATTGGTAGGACAAACCTCAGTTGTTTAGACGAACTGTATTTAAATTTCTGGTGTAAGTTTAAATTCCCAATGAAACACAAGACATAATTTAACTGGTATGGGTAAGCCCGGGCATTGGGCCAAGCCGGACCCGTCCGTTAGGAATTTTTAAGGCCCATGTCCTGTTCGTGGGCCTACCTATTGGGCCAAAAATGGGCTAATTACAGACGGACCTTATGGGTCGCCCATTGAGCCTGGCACGGACTTTTTATGTAAAAAATACAAAAAAACATTGAAAATTTAATTTTTATGTAAAAATTACAAAAAAACAACAATTACATAAAGTTAGATATGAAAAACTAAATTAACAAAAAAATTATTCATATTAATTGAATTGAACAAATATTCATAAAGAGTTACAATATAACATTACAAATTGATTGATAGGTGAGACTATTTTATATCACTACAAATTGAGTATATCCTAACTAGATTAGCACCTACACAATTGTCAATTCAATAAAAATTACAAATCAAATATCAAATAAACAATAGAACTATGAAATATAATCTAATTATCTTCTTCGGGCAAACTATCAGGTGCCCAATCTTCTCTTTTAAGTTTATTTCCATTAATGCTTGAGTGAATTCTTAATTTTTTATTTCCTCATGCATCCTTGCATCAGCAAGTCTCTAACCTTTGAGGCATACTAAAACTTCAATTATTTATGGATTCAAACTGTATCGTCTGTTAGATAGTATTCGGTCACCTGGTAAAAAAACTGTTTTTAATGATACAGTCGAAACTAGAACCGTTAGTAGGTCACAGACCATAATGGAAAGCATAAAATCTGTAATTTTTCAAAAGAAATGGAAGTTGTCAGCTCAATGATTATATTTCAACGGGTATCTTCTATTAGGCTAACGAGTGGGTTAACGGACTTCTTAATGGGTCCACCCAGCCCCCACACTTAAAAAACACGGCCTAGGCTCGACATACCTAGCTAGCAGTCTATCCAAGCCTTGTCACGTGTATGGGCCAGGCTTTGAGATTTTTTGTGAGGCCTATATATGAGTTGAGGAACAAATTTATGCACCCAAGATTTATTTTTTGTTCTATTCAGATTCACAAGTCTAAATAACTAAGTCGTCTCTATCTCGCCGAGGATACGCCAGACATTTCTCCCGTCATCCAAAAATTCAAAAAATAAATCAAGGTATAAGCAATCTTCTAGTTCTATTGCACAAATAGTGCCTCAATTAATCTAACTAGAGTACTGTTGTTGCCAAGTTTTCTTAATGAGTGTTTCCTCAACAACTAATGGAGCGTGACCAAAACAATTGGATGGTAAAGGAACCGGGTGAGACGTAGCGTCACCACAACCATTGGATGTTAATGGAATCTAAGTGGATCCAAAAATCCGACATTGCACATGAGTTGGTAAAGGATAATTTGTCAAATAAAATTGGTCAGTATAGCATGCTCTCAAAGATGTAAAATAGAAATTAAAAATTCTGATATATTAACTTTTTTATTTTATTTCATGAGTATGGTATAAAATACAAATTTTAGAATATAAGTGATGGAGTGCATTGTTTGGATCCAAAGCCTCATTCCTGTATTTCTAAAATTCTGTTATTTTACACTAATATTATTGAGTATTTGGTTAATCTCTTACAATCTTACAATTGAGCAATGCGCTAATATATGGACTAATACTAAATTTAGACGTGGGCTAATACCAAAGTGAGCTATGGATAAATTTATTTGACAATGAATAAAAAAAATTATTTATGTTTTCCCCACATTATATAATTTTTATTTTTATTTTTATAAATCATATTAAGGAATATATGTTTTCACCGTATATAATACTATTGATTGTTACGAGTATTTTTTTTCATGAATATTTTAAATTTAAATTTAGTACAGTAGTACATGTCATATTGACACAGTGATACACAACAATATCACAAATTCTACAAGTCAATGTCACACTGCTACAAGTTAATGTCACACTGATATAAGTCAATGTCACACTAGAAGGGATACTAGTGATATTTTTTATAATAGAGGGAGTGTCCTTAAAAGTATAATAAACTAGAAGGAATGTGGTTAAAATTTTTCCAAAACATCATTACACCTCTTGAACGCTGCCTCCCTGCAAGCCTTAAAGAAAATGAATCCTCTCATAACCCTCTTTTTTCATGTACAAATTCATGGTGGTTTCTACAATCCACAACCCTCCTTTACGGTCCACCTCAACATCGAGAATGTTCAACACCTTGTGCTTCAACTCCTTAGAGAGTTTTACAATCTCAATGAGTCCTCTTGATCGGAAACAAAAGGTTTTGGACTCCATTGATACTTTGATCGAGAGTTAATTTTTCAATAAAAGAAAATCGTCTGGATCCTTTGGAATTAGGACGTTTTGAAAAGAATGGAGGTTTTAGGGAAGTTTTCTTATTAATCTTGGAATAATGGAGGTTTCAGCGATATTGAAGGAGTTTTATGGGTAACGGTTGATATCCCTGATATTTCGGTTGTGGAGGCAAAAATATAAGAATCGGTTCTCATTTTACTTAAAGGGGTATTTTAGAGATTTGTTAAAAGTTGTACTTTTTGCCCTATAATTTCTAAAAAAGGCACCGGCCCTTTAAAACCCTAAATAAATTATGTCAAAAAAAAAGAAAAAAATATTAAAAAAAGCATATGAACAGTCTCTGTTAAAATAGAGAGAGAAAAAAAAAAAAAAAAGAGTAACCAACGGCGAAACGCATAGATCTGAAGCATAGATGTGGTGACACATATTGTTGAAGCAAAAGGAAAGAAGAAGAAGGGGAGATGAAGAAGATGGCTTGAAGCAGATTTGATGGCAGATCCATCGTCGAAGCCTTCTCCATTTTTTGAATCAAATCTAGAGGAGATCCGAGGCCCTTGCCTTGAAGCAAATCCGAAGCCTGTGCCTCTTGTTATCTACTCTGGTTTTCCTTTTCTTTTCTTTTTTTTTTAATCTTTTTCTAAGCCTCATATCTCCGATATATCCGAGCCCTGTTCGACTACCAAAAATTCTTATTCGCTATTCAGAACGCTCGTAGAAGTGTTGGACAAGTGTCTGGCCATGTTTCACGTATATCTGTGCCTGACACCGCCAAGTTTACCTCTCAGCGAGGATTTGTGCTTCCTAGCAGAGTAGGCAATGGAAACACAAAAAAAAAAAAAAAGAGTATCAAGTTTAGCATCACAAAAAATAGGAGAAACAGTGCCATTTCACATTACATTCTCCATTAATTCACAACTTTACATGAACATCAAGCATTCTAAATTTTTAAATCTCTTTCTCTCTCCTAAAGACGCTCATTTTCCGGGGACAAAGTTTGTAGCATAAGCCCAGGCATTGTTGTTAACTGGGTCAGCCAGGTGGTCAGCCAAGTTCTCCAATGGGCCTTTTCCGGTCACAATGGCCTGGACAAAGAAACCAAACATGGAGAACATGGCAAGTCTACCATTCTTGATCTCCTTCACCTTAAGCTCAGCAAACGCTTCTGGATCCTCAGCAAGGCCCAATGGGTCGAAGCTTCCACCGGGGTACAGTGGGTCAGTCACTTCTCCGAGTGGCCCACCGGCAATTCGGTAACCCTCAACAGCACCCATCAAGATAACCTGGCAAGCCCAAATGGCCAAAATGCTCTGAGCATGGATCAAGCTTGGGTTGCCCAAGTAGTCAAGTCCACCTTCACTAAATATTTGGGCTCCGGCCTTGAACCAAATGGCCTCACCGAACTTGACCCCATTGCGGGCCAAGAGCTCGGGGAAGACACACCCTAGCGCTCCAAGCATGGCCCATCTGCAATGGATCACCTCGAGCTCACGGTTCTTAGCAAAGGTTTCCGGATCAGCCGAAAGCCCAGCAGTGTCCCACCCGTAATCACCAGGGAATTCACCCGTGAGGTAGCTCGGGGGATCACCGGAGAATGGGCCCAAGTACTTGACACGGTCTGGGCCGTACCATGGACTGCCTGATGGGACGGGCTTCCCAGTTTTCCTCATGGAGACCCTTCCATTTCCTTGGAGCTCGGGGGCAAAAGGCAAGAGTTTCACCGCCTTTCCGGCAAAAGATGGGGAAGATAGAGCCATTGTAGAAGCAGCCATGGTTGAGACTGTGTTGAAGATATTAAGCTCTCTGGAGGAGGAATGAGTGGTGGGAATGGCCTGATAGTTGGTAGTTTTTTATAGGGTTTTAAGGGTAGGATTCTCCTTATCACATGATATCTTTATCTTGGTTTTGATTGGTTTATAAGATTCTTTACTTCTTCGTGTCTCTCTCCTCCACTTGGCTGTTTCTCATCCACCAACTTCTAAGATTTTCTGTATGGGGTTCCAGCCAATGTGGTTGTCCCAAATGTGGTATGTTTGGATTAGATTTATGCCAACGGCTAGATATTTTAGCCAACATGTGATGATTTCCATTGATTGAACTCAAATGCTTACATGCTATTGATATGGTTCAATTGATTATGCCTTAGCCTTACATTGAATGTTAGGGTCTTATGGATGATACTTGTCTATAAGAACCATCATTTTATTATTAATTAAGGGACATTTGGTAGCACTTTTTAAGCTAAAAAGTAATGTCATCGTGAAAGCAAAAGCATATTAAATCACTAACTAATAATAGTGATTTATATGAATTTTAGTGAACAAATAATAAAATTATATACATATATATATATACATGTATGTGCACTAAAAAAAATGGATATAATTAAGCTAGGAAGAATGAAGTAAGTTCGAACAAATTAAAAAGCACAAAAATAATTATAAAAAAAAAACGCCTTCTTTTAAAATAGTAGTTGCAAAACCCAAAATGTAGGAAAAAAACACTTTGAACATGAGGAAATAGTACTTCAAAATCAGACACTCTTATGCACCTCAGATCACTCAAATCATGTCTGCAACTGGAATATTTAACAAAACCCAGATCCAAGCCCAAACGTAAACCTAAACCTGACTGACAAACTCAAATTCAAACTCAAACTCAAACCCAACTTCTTTGGTTGTCCTCTTCTACCAATCATATAGCAAATTAAAGTGAATTTTATTCACCTCAGGAAAAATCATCAAAGATTGGGTTTGGAGCAATGACAAATGCGCATGCCTCCAAATAATTCATGGAGGGTTCACATTCGAGAATCTTTTGACAAATATTCATTATAAACGAGAGTTCTTTGCACTTGATGCTATTTTTTTCTAAGAATAAATAAAGGGTTTTAACTCTAGAAGTAAAATTGCATATGTTAATATCTCTGTCATTGAAGGAATGATATTCATTAGCCTATATCAAATGAATGACTCTCCTTACTAGTCATACTACAATTTCATATCTCTTGAATTTATTTAGCATCAATCAGCTTGCAGATTTACTATATTTTGAGGATGTCACATGCTGATGGAGGACTCCTTCCCACCATCCATGTAATTCGTCCCATTCTATGTCCACATATTTCTTTGAGAAGCTTGGTGCCGCATCAGTTATAATGTAAGTTCTCCATGGAGTGATAGCACTATCCGATTGCACAAGTGGCAGTCCCCGATTGGCCTAAAACAGGAGTTTATAACATTGCATGAGATTTTTGATGCATCATACACCTCAGAAATCTAAGGATGGGTAGTGGTATAGACATTGCCAAATGGGCAAGCAATAGGAAGCTCTAAAATGTTATCAGCCAATGTATATATATATATATACATATATGTATTTATTTATTTATATATATGAATAAATAAATGAATATATATATGAATAAATTTATGTATTTATATATAAATACATATACATATATGTATTTATTTATTTATATATGTATTTATATTTTTAGTGTGTGTATATATATATATATATATATTAACAAATACACATGAATCAAGGTGCATTAAATACTAAATTTCTCCCATAAAACTAAGAGATATTTAATGCATCACTTTTCAAAAAACATACACATGGATCAATGGAGGACAAAAATGTCACAAAAAAATTAGACAAATTCAAATTGTGTATTTAGATACAAATAAGTATCAAACTTAAGAACTTAATAACCCTACATTTTTAGTGTGTACTTCTTGTCAAATAAGTCTAATTTGGTGTACTCCCTTACAATTTACCCTTGTACATATATAGTTGCAGCCCAGGAAACTCAAGGCACAACACAACCACCTTTCTTTAGGTCTTCTTTGAACAATTGTTCCTTTCAGTAGTTTTCAATAAAGGTATACAATGGCTCTCTCTTCCCCATCTCTGGCCGGAAAGGCGGTGAAGCTGTCGCCATCTTTCCCTAGAACTCCAAGGAAATGGAAGGGTGTCCATAAGGAAAACTGCCAAGGCCGTCTCATCAGGCAGCCCATGGTATGTCCCAGACCGCGTCAAGTACTTGGGCTCATTCCCTGGTGACTACGGTTGGGACACTGCAGGGCTTTCAGCTGATCCAGAAACCTTTGCCAAGAGTCGTGAGCTTGAGGTGATCCACTGCAGATAGGCCATGCTTGGAGCTCTTGGGTGTGTCTTCCCCGAGCTTTTGGCCCGCAATGGCGTCAAGTTCGGTGAGGCCATTTGGTTCAAGGCCGGAGCCCAAATCTTTAGTGAGGGTGGACTTGACTACTTGGGCAACTCAAGCTTGATCCATACTCAGAGCATTTTAGCCATTTGGACTTGCCAGGTTATCTTGATGGGTGCCGTTGAGGGCTTCCGTATTGCCGGTGGGCTGCTCGGAGAGGTGACTGACCCATTGTACCTCGGTGGCAGCTTCGACCCATTGGGCGTTGCTGAGGATCCAAAAGCGTTTACTGAGCTTAAGGTGAAAGAGATCAAGAATGGTAGACTTGCCATGTTCTGGTTCTTTGTCCAGGCCATTGTGACTGGCAAGGGTCCACTGGAGAACCTTGCTGACCACCTTGCTGACCCTGTAAACAACAATGCCTGGGCCTATGCCACCAACTTTGTTCCTGGGAAGTGAGAGTCATAACAGTAATTGAGTTGTGTACCCTATAATGAGGGCTTAATTGAGTAGGGATTTGAGAGTAGTTGGTGTTGTATATTTCCTTGAATTAATGCAAAGCATTGGTAATATGTACATTGCTTCATTGAAATTGCTAGTACTCACCTCTGTCTGGCTATAATTTGAAAAATTAAGTGTGACAAAAACATTATTTAATTACGATTTTTCATTGAATTTCAGTTTCCCGACTTATTAGATCTATTGGATTGCATCTCCTACATTAGTTATGAGTTTCAAATTGCCCTCTCGACTGTCACATTTCTCACTTTGTGCCTCTAGTAACTATGTTTATTGTTTTTATGTTGTCTAATTATACATATTAGAAACTGAACTTTACTACAAATTTGGATATTTTTCATCCAAAACATGAATGGCTGTTTGGTTTTGGGGCAATATGAAACCAATGCAGGTAATTGAAGGGGTAATATAAGAAACTCAACAATTGAAGGGGCAAAGTAAGATCAAACTCATAGTTAAATGGGTCAAAGTGTAATTTTCACAAAAAAGAAATGCAAAATTGGGTAGGGAATTCGTTGTCTATATAACAGTCACTTGTATTACAAGAATTTTTAGCAAAGCCAACATTTATAAACGTCGGGAAAAATCGAACAACTATTCAAAAAAGTTATAATTGTCGTTTGGTTTAAATGCCGTCTATTCTAGCATCGTAAAAACTCTCGATATTTTTTTAAACGCCAAAAAATATATACTTGTGATTTTTTTGATGAAAAATAAGAAATTTTCAAACTCTAAAGGGACATGATTACATCACCAAACCGCCCCCCCCCCGCCGGCCCAACCCAACTAGATCTACCATTTGGAATTAAACTTTTACATGTACAAGGCTACCTCAATATTTTAACTTGGGGTGTGTTATGTATGTCGTTTGCATCTATTTCAATTATAAATCATCTTTGTTAGATTTTAAGTCAATTTCACTTAATGATACTCAATGAAAAATTACTCACCGTGTATGATAGAGGGTTCCACTTGAAAACTTAAGCATATGAGTAACAACGAGTCAAATGTTTGTTAGTTTCTTGTTTCCACACTACTCTTTTTGTGTGAGATTTGATCCTCTCAAATGACTTGCATAGAATAATATGAAAGCTTTAATTGATTGTTAATATCGTTCGAACTGTCAACTATTTTCCTGTATAAACTGTAAAATTTAAAAAAATTTAAACTTTTTTGAAAAATGACAAAACGGTAATTTGTCATTATAATGCAGGTTAAAAACTTATATTTTTCTAGAGCTTGGATGACAAAACGAACTTCACTGTTGGATTCATCTCACGAAATCTAGTTATCCAGACAAATTTCATCAGATTCTGACATAGTCGGATTTTTTGCTTTTTACGAGGCAATCGAGTCTCGAGTGACCCAAAAATGAAATTTTTAATAAAATTTTAAAATTTGAAAATTAATTTAAAGAAAGTTCATATAAAATATTTTAAACTTAAACCAGAACAAAATTTAATCATTTTGTGACGAAAATGGACTCGAAAAACAGAGACATATGGTGCAACGTGCACCAAGCATTAAAGGGTATAAATAGGAACAAAAATATGATTTTTGGATTGAACACTCTGCTGTATTCTAGTGTGTTAACGTGTGAAGAGAGGAAAAGGGGGAAAAGAAGAAAAAAAGAGAAATTCAAGGCATCTCTCTACGATCTACGGAGTTCCGTCGATCGAAATTCTTCAAGCCAAGTATTAAAGTCGATCTCCTCAACAAGAACTACACAACCATACCAAAAATGAAGACTTTCATTGAAGATTCGAAAAATGAAATTTTGGAAAAGCTTGAATTAGAGCTTGGGTTGAAATATTGAACTTTCTACGTTGATTTTACGTTTCAAGAGGTAGGATTTTCATCCTAACTAGAATTATTTCCAACCTAGGATAAATATATGAAATGGGTGGGCTATTATGTGTATTTTAACACTTGTCTATTGTAGTTGGTTTAATGAAAATGAGTAAGCTAAATTCTAGTGTAAAATGGATAATTAGAAATTGCTAGTTTATGATTTTTTGGAAGTTTTGATAATTGGGTATGTGGGAATCACTTAATCTGATTTTTTTTTTTAATTTATGTAATAATTATGGACATTTTTATGTGATAACATAATTTGGTGTCTTAAAGGTGTTTGACTAAATGCCTATATGAAAATTAAGTATGTTATTGTATAGATTATGTATGACATGCTTGAGAAAATTTGTTATTAAATGTGAATGTTAGTATATGCTTATGATATATTGGTATTGTAATGACTTTATAGAAGTTATATGCTTGGAATATAATTTGCCATGAAAATTTTGAATGTGGTTAAATTAGCCCATATGACATTCATTATATATGGAGCATGATATTGATATTGTAATGATTCATTACATTACATATGCACAGAGATATCGCATTTTGTGGGTGTGTGTGCATGGTTTGATCAAACATCATTCTTGGTAGATGATACTTAGGCTAAAAAAAAGTTGGATTGAAGATTCGACTGAGTCACATAGTTTGCATGAAAAAATTGTGTCGGGTATAGTAAGCAGGACTAGATTCGCCCTTGAGTGCAAGACCTTATTACTTAGTTCATACACTCCCCTGTGGTGAAATTCCAAAAAAGTGTATCGGTGTGTAGAATCGGCGGTGCGACATCAAAACTCCCCTACCTAACAAAGAAACGTGATTTTGTTTTATAAAATAGTTGTTAGATGTGTAACGCCCAATAAAGACACATGATTTTGTTTTGTAATAAAAACACATGATTTATTTTAAAAAGATCATTGAACGTATATCATCAATAGCGGATTTATACACATTGGCATTGCAGTGTGTTGTGGGAGCCATAGAGGGCTCGGGTTGAAGTGTATGAGTAAATCTCATCTCATTTCATAGCATGACATGGTGATTTTCAATATTGAATTGCATATTCTTGGTTGGAATGGTTGTTGCTTGCTGAATGTTGCATGTGGACATTTCATATGCATTTAAGTTGGGGAGTGGCCTTTTTAGGAGATACCCTATTAAACGTGGATCACCTTTTATGGGAAAATATTTCAGGTGCGGGTTATACACCGGTGAACGACTCGTATTTGGGGCTTCAAGGACGAAGAAAAGCCGCATTGTGGTTTTTAATTCACGTTTTGTAAAACATTCGCTAAGTTAGTTTTTGGGTATGCAATGTATATAAAAAAATTGTAATCGAACTCATATGAACTGTTTGTAATGTAAAATTGCATGTTGTTATATGAGTATGGATAAATGAACCCGGTGTGGCCAATGTTTACTTATGAATGAATCTGGTGTGGTCAATATTTACTCATAAATTGACCTAGTGCAGTCAATGTTGTATGATTGTACAAGTTGTGTTTTTGGTAGAGCTCCTCATACAAAAGAGACTCTGCCCGAATTTTACTAAATTATGAACCCTGGTAAATGGGGCATAACGACGTGATATTGAGTTACATGGTATCCACGGGTATTCCGTAAGTTGATGGGTGATCAACAGGTTGATAAAGGACTCTCAGTTTTTAAGGCGTCAGAGCTTAGTATCAAAGTTTAGGTATACGATTTGCTTAGGGCTTGCTGGACACGGGTCTAGACCATTGTATTCATTATGCATTTCATGTTATGTGCTTTAATATGCTACATGTCATATATTATATGTTACGTGAATTTAGCATGGTTAAATATATATAGAAAAGAGACATTTTGGTGAGAGAACATAACCTTGGGGGTCAGAAAGAGAATTAATGGGATAGTTCAAGGTGTAAATGTCTACTAGTGGTGGCACACACTCTACTATTAAGACAATGAAAGAAATCTCAAATGTTCAACTTTGATCCCTACTTTGGGATACTAAGTTAGTGCTCTATTATTATTTGACTTATGTGAGGGATTTGGGCTTAGAGGTTGGAATCTTGGAAAAGTCATTGCATGTGAGTTTTCCCCTAGGAGTTAGGGTGAGTATTGATCAGAAATGTCGAGATTGTGAGTTAGAAATCTCGGTGATTCTACTCACCGAGGACCTTAGGGTCTTGGACATGTCGGAGTTTAATGTCATTCTTAGGATAGATTGGTTGACGGAACACCGAGTTATCATCGATTGCGATCATAAGATGGTCACTGCTTATACACTAGAGGATGTTTGTTTCAAGTTGCAAGGAAAAAAGTGTGATGCTTTATCCCAAGCCGTGTATGAGTCTCGATGGCACAGGGAGTTGATGAGTTGGCTAGCGAGGCTTACCCTAGAGGATTAGACAAGGCAGGAGTTGGGTCCACCTCGGGTGGTTTGTGAGTATGAGGACATTTTTTTGGACGAACTGTCGGGATTACCTCTACATAGGGATGTAGACTTCACTATTGAGTTACAGCCCAGTACATCTCCTATTTCTATGACTTTGCATAAAATGACGCTAGCTGAGTTGTAAGAACTCAAGGTCCAATTGTAAGAATTGTTGGACAAGGGCTTTATTAGACCGAGCACTTCACCTTAGGGCGGTCTGGTATTGTTTGTCAAGAAGAAATATAAGACTCTTCGACTATGTATAGATTACCGACAGTTGAATTGGATTACTATCAAGAATAGGTACCCTTTGCCAATAATTGATGGTTCGTTTGATAAGTTCAGAGGGGTGCGGGTCTACTCCAAGATAGATTTACGCACGGGTTATTATCAGTTGAGGGTTAGGGAGGCAGATATCCCTAAGACAGCGTTTAGAACGCGGTATGGTATTTCAAGTTTACGATTATGCCTTTTGGATTGACGAATGCTCCGGCGGCATTCATGGATCTCATGCATAGGGTATTTCAGCCCTACCTAAATCAGTTTGCCATGGTCTTTGTTAATGACATTCTGATCTACTGCAAGTTTGAGGAGGAGCATGAGGGTCACTTGAGAGTTGTTCTCCAGACCTTGAGAGACCATCAGTTGTACGTCAAGTTTAGCAAGT